AATATTAGTCACATCTATTCGTGTTTTTAAAATTATACTATTTAATAGTATGTTCAAATATTTTTTGAACAAATACTAATCTGTTTAAATTTAAGAGGACACTGCGGCCCTCCAGAGGGCAAATTAGTTTAGGTCTTTTAATAATTCAGTATCTCTCCTGGGGGGTCAATAGTTGCTTTACAAATATGAGGAGAATACATAAGACTCAACATATATACAAGACATTTTTTTCAATAAATGGTCTGGAAAAACTGAATATACATTTGGAGAAGTGTAAAACTAGATCTCATCTCTCACTATTTACAAAGTTTAACTCAAAGTAAACTCAAGACCTAAATATAAAACCCAAAAGTATAAGAACGACTTGAAGAAAATGCAGGGGAGAGACCAGCAGTTAGCGTAATGGCTATGTCACTGGACTCCTACGTAGTCAACCGTGGTTCGAGTCCTGGATCCAGTGGCTTAAACTCACTCCGGGCGCATGTGCATGCGTGCCCAAGATCCCGAGAGGAGAATGGAGGAGAAGGGATTGTGGCGTGGCCATTCCCCCGGGGGGGGGGGTGCTTTTTCGCTTTCTGTCTCTCTGTCTCTCTCTGTCTGTCTGGCAAGCGCACGTGCCCTATAGCAAAAAACTTTCTCTCTCAAAAAAAAAAAAAAAAGAAAATGCAGGGGAAACACTTCAAGATATAGGAATGGGCAAAGATTTATCAAATAAGAGCACTAAAGGGACCAACAGTTAGCGTAATGGCTATGTCACTGGATTCCCACATAGTCAACCGCAGTTCACATCCCGGACTTGGTGGCTTAAAACTCACATCGGGCTCGTGTACGTGCGTGCCCAAGATCCTGACAGGAGAATGGAGGAGAAGGGATTGTGGCACTGCCATCCCCCCTGGGGGGTGATTTCTCACTTTCTGTCTCTCTGTCTCTTTCTGTTTGGCGAGTGCACACGCCCTATAGCATAAACCTCTCTAAAAAATAATAATAATAATTTAATAAGACCACTAAAGTTAGGGCAGCTGTGACTCTTCTGTCCAACAGAGTCACCTGAAATGCGCATGGAAGTACTAGTCAAGACGCAGATCAAGAGGGAGAGAGAGAGACCATACCAGTGATGCACCCATAAGCCTCTCTCGTCCTCCATATTTATTATGACAAAGAGGAAAGAAAGTTAATTTTAGAGAAAGTTGCTTCTTAGAGGACTAGAAACTTAAGAATAATTCCTGGAACAGGGTAGTTTCAGCATGGATAAAGAGGAGGATGGCAAAATGATGCTAGAAGCTGGACAACATACCTTGAAATATGGAGAACACATTCATTAGATCACATACCATCTAATGACCTTCTGTAGTTTTTCAAGCAGGGAGGCAAGAATCAGGTGTTTTCACCATTTCTCCTGTAGTCATTCATTCAGCGTTTATAAATCCAAGGTGTCCTAGACCTTGGATTTATAAACAGCTGGCATTTCTGCTGTTCCCTAACAGGCAACAACACCAAAAATAGAAAGCTGGGATTCCATCAAGCTTCTGCACAGCAAAGGAAATAATAGAAAGTAAAGGATTACCACAGAATAAGAGAGACTATTGTCATAATATACTTCAGTTAGGAGCTTGATAGAATTTATAAGAAACTCAAACAGCTCACCCACACAAAAAAAGTAAAACTCAATCAAAAAGTGATTAACTGACCATAATAGACAATTCTCATAGGAAGATATATTGAAGCAGGCGAGACTCCATCTTGGAGGAGCAACTCCATCTTGGAGGAGGGTCTCCATTATAAACTGTTCAATTTCTATGACTAATAACTCAGGGCTGAGAGCTGTCTAAGGTTTCCGCCCTCTTAGAAACTTACTGCTCCTCTCTGGAACTACAGGTAACCTCAAAACCTTGGGTGGTTAGTACCTTCAATGGATTAATACCTTGAATGGACTGGTACCTTGAATAGATTAGATTTCCAGCCTCTCTGACTCCTCCCTTTGATGCTGTGTAGGGCGGCATCTGAGCCCAATCCCCACCCCAAGACCTCCCTTCCCCAATTTCCCCATAAAAGATTGTGTCCAACCCTCAGATGGGGTGGGAGATTTTGAGTTTTAACTCCTCCGTACCCTCTGGCATAATAAACAGTTCTCCTAATCTCTCCAAGTGCTACTTTCCATTCCTTGGTGTCTGGTTTTCTGCAACAATATGAATGACTAAAAAAGCATATGAAAAAGTGTACAACATCTTTTTTTTTTTTTGTAAGGTTTTTGCTATAGGGCACGTGCGCTCTCCAGAGAGACAGAGAGACAGAAAGCAAGAAATCACCTACCAGGGGGATGGCCACACTGCAATCCCTTCTCCTCCATTCTCCTCTTGGGATCTTGGGCACACATGCACATGTGCCCAGTGTAAGTTTTAGCCACCGGGTCCAGGACTCAAACCACTGTCAACTACATGGGAGTCCAGTAACACAGCCATTGTGCCATCTGCTGGTCCTGAACATCTTTTTTTTAAAAGGGAATTGTAAATCAAAATCACAATGAGGCATCACCTAACTTAGTCAGTGTGGCTATGACCAAAAGAACAATAACAAGTCTTGAAAAGTCACAGAATAAAGGACCCTCATGTACTACCAATGAGGATGTAAAATAGTACAGATGCTATGGAAAACAGTATAGAGGTTGCTGAAAAAATATAAAAATAGAACTATTATTTGGTCAACAATTACTGAACCAATAATCTCACTCTTCCAAAGAATAGAAAGTAACTCAGAGACATCTGCACATCCTTGTTTATTGCAGCATTATTCACAATTGCTAAGACAGAGAATTAACCTAGTGCCCAACAACTGATGAGTGAATTAAGAAAATGTGGCATATATACCCAATGAAATACCACTCAGTTATCAAGGAAAACACCCTGACATTTGACACAAAGTGGATGAACTTAGAAGATATAATGAGGCTATGAAAGATAAGCCAGACTATGAAAGACAAATACTGTATATCCCCATTTAACATATACCAAATGTCTGCTTTTTATGGTGGAAACTGAAGTACTTGGTTGCAGAGACAGTAATAATAAATACTGGAAGCTCCAAGGAGGGTGGGGGAGAAAATGAGCAACAGACACACACATGCATATAAACAATTGGAATAGATTAGAAACTGTATACCAGAGCTGAGTAAACAAGTCACTGTCAATTTAATATATACTTATAAACAACAAAAACCTAGTTCAGTAATTTAGAATGTGTACATTATGTAATGTTCAAAGTTGAAGACAATGAATATGTCTCTCTCCTTGATTTGATTATTATACACTAAATGCATGTTTTTAATAACCACACTGTATTCCACAAATGTATGGGCAATGATTATTTATAAGCCAGGAAAAATCATTTTAAAATAAAAAATATATATGAAAAAAAGAACGAAAAAGATGGCTTTCTGAATGCCTATACACGCGCACACATACACACACACACCGAGTACTTAAGGAGCATTATTTGGATTTCCTTGGTCATTATATTTTGTTGTACCAAACAAAGTTTTTAATATCATCCTTTACTGGCAGATTCTGTAAACAAATGCAAATTATTTAAAATTAGGCTTCTATTAATATTACTATCTAGATAATTTTTAAAATTTATTGAGTTTCCCATATAGTTGTCCCTTTTTGAGATTCTTTTGTTACTAAAATAAGTGACTGAATGTTTAGGTAAAAAATTTATAACTCAAAGCTAAAAGAATTGTCTAATTGTTTTTTAAATACAGAAAGCATTATTTAAGTTTCATCAAAATGTTTAAGAAATTATTATGGTAAGTAAAAGAATGACATTTGTAATAAATTACTTTTATAATATCAAACACAAATCTGTAAAGTTAGGGAATGGTTTAATATAGTATCATGTGTATATATACCTAAATATATATATATGTATATATATAAAGGTCATTACTTATATGTAATGTTTTATTTTAAAATTTTATTTATTTATTTAGATTTTTGTTTTGGGCGCATGTGCTCGCTGGAGAAACAGAGAGAGACAGAAAGATAGAAGGCAAGAAATCACCCCCTCAAGGAGGATAACCATACCACAATCCCTTCTCCTCCACTCTCCTCTGAGGATTTTGGGTATGTACGTGCACAGACCTGACATGAGTTTTAAGCTGCCAGGTCCAGGACTTGAACTGTGGTCAACTACATGGGAGTCTAGTGATATAACCATTATGGCATCTTTTTGCCTCTGTAATGTTTTATATTATTTTTACTTTTTTTTTTTAAGTGGTGTTTCTCTTAGGGCATATGTGCTCATCAGAAAGAGAGAGAGAGACAGAGTCAGAGATAGTGAAAGCATGAGAGATCACACTCCCAGGAGGTATGGTCACTCTGCAGTCCCTTCTCCTCTGTTCTCCTCTCAGGTTATTGGTCATGGATACACATACAACTGGCATGATTTTCAAGCCACTGGGTCTGGGACTCAAACTGATTGGCCATGTGGGAGTCCAGGAATGTAACCATAAACCACGTGTTCTCCCCAATTTTTCAAAAATTTATTTTATACATTCAGTCACTGTATATCACTATAGCTTATAAAACAAATTTTCCCAGCATGAATACACTGTATATTAGTCCAGTTAAAGATACTATCACACATATTATCAACAGATAATTTTCCATTTTTGTGTCTCTTAAGTGTTTTACTTTTTTATTCTTCTCCTTGATTCCCTTCATTGTAATGTTGATCTATCCATTTTGAATGAGGTTGTCTTAGAACTACTACCTGATTTCCTTCTTAGTCAACTGGTACAGATTTAAGCAATTTAGTAATTAATTAGATGTGTCTCATATGGTGTATTTATTAACTTTACCTTTCAGATAACAGAATAGATTTTTGTGGTTTCTTATGAGCTCGATTTATTGTACTTTTCCCTTCAAATGAAGACATATTAAAAAGAAAATGAAATTAGAAAATATTATATTAGGATTACATTATACCATATTTTTATCTTCTAGATATTGTGTTGTCACCCCAGAAACTTATGCATTCATTTTGTGCAATGAAGGCGGATGATGGCCCATGCAAAGCAATGATGAAGAAATTTTTTTTTAATGTTCTGACTCTGCAGTGTGAAGAATTTGTATATGGGGGATGTGAAGGAAATCAGAATCGATTCGAAAGTCTGGAAGAGTGCAAAGAAAAATGTATGATAGGTAGGTTTCTAGGAGCCATTATTACTTAAGAGCCTTTAGGGTTGTTGAGTCTAATCATAGGTTTGAAACTTTTTGTAAAGAACTAATTTATAATAACGCTATTCTAACATTCCTAGGAAATCCTTTATTTTCACGTTTTCAGCTTTCATGTTCAATTGTCATTTTTTTTTGTCAGTTATAAAATACATTAAACCTCATTAATTATCCTATATTCTTCTTCATAAGTAATTGGGTGAAACTACACCTCAAATTCACAGAACAATGAAGAATATTTGTGATGAAGTAAACGTGATTTAGCTTCCCTGAGCATCTGCGTTGGCAGGAGAGGAATTGTTAATCAATCACATTGACATATTCTTTTCTTTATCAACACAATGGTCTCTTTGCTGTCCTCTATCAATATCATGAATCTGAACATTTACTTTGAAAATCTGGAGTAACTAAATGGAAATTTTAAGATGCATCAAGTATTAAATCTACACATGTATATATATTAAATTTAAGCCATCTTGTTGAAACATTGGAATACTGTAGAAAAGAAAATATCCCTGCTGACCCAGGTATTTTACTGAACTTAACTTTTCACATTCATTTTATGGTTAGAAGATTTAAAGTATATTATAATATATTAAACTATTACATTTTTATTGGGCCTTAGTTCTATTAAAAATTTAACCTGGAACCAGCAGATGGCATAATGGTTATGTCACTGGACTTCCTCCTAGTAGACCGTAGCTCAAGTCCTGGACCCGGCAGCTTAAAACTCACACCAGGCATGTGTGCGTCTATGTCCAAAATCCCAAGAGGAGAATGTAGGCGAAGGGACTGTATGTAGTGTGACCATCCCCCCTGGGGGGTGATTTCTCATTTTCTGTCTTTCTACCTCTCACTGTCTCTCTGGCAAGCACACACACACACCCTAGAGTAAAACCTCTCTCTCTAAAAAATAATAACCTTTTTGCAGATTTTACAATTTCAAATGTTGTATGCAGGGTTTTGTTTCTGTTCTCTGAGATAATTCCATATAATTACTGGTTAATTTCCTGAAAGTTTTTATCTCGGTTTATTCTTCTGAAATGTTACTACTTGAGGACAAGAAGAATCACCTTTATTTCTCCCATTCCTCGCCCAGCATTTCCCTGTAGTATGCTGTTCCAGCTAGTTGAAGTGAATTGCAGTGTTAGAAAGATGATCTCTTTACTTAGTATCGCTAAATGTCTCTTTTTTTTTTTTTCCAAACAAGGGTCATTCAGTAACACTTTCTAAACCTATTTTAGAAAACAGCCTTGGCCTGTGGGAAAATCTCAGTGTGTTAAAAAGAGAGAACTTCTCTGTGAGTCTGTGAGATACTTTGTTGTATGCTTCAGAACTGACAGAAGAGAGTGGATGAGAACGTATTTCTTGAACTTCAGCATGTATTTTCCTTTTACTTCTCCATAGATGCCCTAGGAATCTCACTAACAAAGATGAGGCTGCTTGGTGGTCCTCAGGGGTACCTTTGGATTTTATGATACCCTAATTATTTTCCAATCATCTCAGATTTCTACACCAATTTTTGTTTTTGTTTTTTCCACACATGTTGGGCCAAAAATCCCTTTTTGTTAAGTTGAAAAAATCACTTTGTTGCCTTGATTAGAGGCCTGGTTGCCTCATTCTTTGTAATTCTCACATATTCATTTAGAAGCCTACTTAATTTCAACAACTGGTCTCTCTCTGAAGTACTTGCCTGTTTTTTTTTCTTTTAACTTAATATAACTTTTATTCTTAATTTTTTTTAACTGCCAGAGGGCAGAGATAGAGAAAGAGGAAAAATGCAGCCCCCCCCCCAATTAAGTATGCTCACAATTCCTTTTCCTCCACTTCTCCAACCTGTTAGGATTTGGGCCACATGCACGTGTACCCAGTGTGTCTTTGAAGCTATTGGGCCAGGATTCAAATATCAGTCAGCCATGTGGGACCCTGACTCCCCAACCACTAGGCCACAGGGTGACCCCATACTTTCTTTTTTCATCCTTTCTTTCTTTTTAAATAATTCACCAGTTCTAAAGGTCCCGATTGTGTAAATGTCACCTTTTTTTTAAGAAGTCAATCACATATAATTTTATTCATCAGTGGTGGCACTGATTATAATATCTCTTGAGCCATCAATAATTGAGAAATACATATGTAAGTCTCTTGCCCCAAATCCTCAATATTTCTTCAAAAACTACTTGATTTTATTGTACAAAAGCCTGAATATTACATGCATTATACTACTGTTAATGATAAAGCTGATATATAGGTAAAGTATTGTTAGACTTTTAAAAACTCACTAGCAGCATTCTCTTTATACTTTCAGTCAATGTAAAGTAGTTAGACTGGACTTTCTCTCTTAATGTAAACATTTAAAAAGTAAACAAAATATACATATTTTCTGTTTACAGATATATATTGAAAGACAGTATACACTTGTGATCTCAAAGTTAAGGGAAATGTGGGACCAGCAGTTAGCATAATGGCTATGTCGCTGGACTCCCATGTAGCTGACTGCAGTTCGAGTCCCGGGCACAGTGGCTTGAACTCATGCCGGGCACATGTGTGTGCGTGCCCAAGATCCTGAGAGGAGAATGGAGGAGAAGGGATTGCGGCGTGGCCATTTCACCCTGGCCAAATCACCCCTGGGGGGTGATTTCTCATTTTCTGTCTCTCTGTCTTTCTGGCAAGTGCACGTGCCCTATAGCAAAAACCTCTTAAAAAAAAAAAAAGACTTAAAAAAAAGAAAAAAAAAAGTGGTGTCTGTAAATTACAGTGCAAACAATAGAAAACACTGGGGAAACTCTGGGAGACCTTGTGGTAGGCAAAGACTTCTTAAATAAGACCCTCCAAAGTGCAGTCGATAATCCCCAAAATAGACAAGTGGGATTATATCAGACTAAGAAGTTTCTGCACAGTAAAAGATATAGTAACTAGTGTGAATTGACAGCCCTCAGAATGGGAAAATACTTTTGTAAGCTATTCATCAGATAAGGGACTGATAACCAGAATACACAAGGAACTCAAGCAGCCATTCCGAAAAAGGATGATCAACCCTATTAAAAGATGGGAGAATGAGTTGAAAAAAACACTCTCTAAAGATGACATATGAACAGCCAAAAGGCATATGAAAAAAATGAACATTCCTCATTATAAGGGAAATGCAGATCAAAACAACAATGAGATACCACCTAACCCCAGTCTGAATGACTAAGATTTAAAAAAAAAAAAACAGGATAAGTACTGGCGGGGGTGTGGTGAAAGGGGAACTCTCTTACACTGCTGCTGGGAATGTAAATTAGTCCAGGCACTGTGGATAACAATTTGGAGATTCCTCAAAAATCCACAAATAAAACTACCATATGATCTAGCAATCCCACTTCTCGGTATCTACTCAAGGGACAGAAGAATACTTAATCGGAAAAGTGCTTGCACATCCATGTTTATTGTGGCACTATTCACAATTGCTAAGACATGGAACCAACCCAAATGCCCATGTACAGATGAATGGATTGAAAAACTGTGGCACATATACTCTATGGAATACTATTCAACCATAAAAAAACAACAAAACCCAACAAAAGCTTTTGACAGAAAGTGAGAGAATGTGAAAGGTTTACTGCTGAATGAAGCAAACCAGGCTATGAAGAAGAGACATTATATGTCCCCACTTAATATATACCAAGTCTCCGCACTCTATGACTGAAACTGACTAAAGGATATACAAACATAGGAAATGGATGTAAATACCAGATATAGTGTGTGTGAAAGAGTAGAGTCTGAGAAAGGACATTTAGAAGAAAAATAGAGAGGTAAAACATTAATAGGACAAAGAATTATAGTATTATCTGTTGAAGATACTTTTATAGTTTTATCAACTGGACTAGGGAGAAATATTCACATGTTGAAATATTCAGTTTGTAAGCTAAATAATGTTATTGAATGTAAAAGAGAAAATGAAATTTTAAAATGTAGAAAAAATTACAGTACAAACAGAACAAAACATACGTCAACTTTCCTTAATATTTAAAAATACTAAATAAGAACTATATAGATATATCTTTTTAAAAAAGACTATTGATTGTAGTACAATTCAAAAGGAGATTATGCCACTAGGAGATTATGCCATTGGCTTCCTTTTCTAGATGTTTTACTCTCCGTAAGAGGATAACCTGTTTAAAGAAAAAAGAATGATCCAGTTACTGAAACAGGCTAATAAAACTCACATTGTCCCTCTTTCTCTCTGCTTTTCCTTTTTCTGTCTCTAATTCTGTCTCTCTGGTCATACAAGCAATTGTAACCTTCCTTGACTAAAGCTTTTTTTCTTGTAAAGCAAATGGTTATATGACAAAACAAAATTACTGCACTTCTAATGTTTTTATAAATAAATTTTAAATTCATATACATATATATCAACTTGAATTTTTTATGTACCATTTAAATAAAAAAATTAGAATCCATACTTGAAATGTGGTAGGATAAAGACAATTAGCCTTATGCAATACTTGATAAGGTCAATAATTTCCTTATTTTATGGGTGTAAACTATATAATCTATTCCAAATGCTTTTTACTTGATTTATTCTCTTCATCTGATAATAATAATAATGAAACATTATTGCATAGAGATAATGAGACAGAGGAAGGAATCAAGAAAGGATCTAATTCTGGTTCTTTCTACTCTTATTCTCATGCCTATATGAAAACTATCTGTTGATGTTCTAAAAGCAGGCAGCTTGAATTAGGTTCATAGTTCAACATTATTTTAATAATTATTTTAATTAAAGATATTCTAAATGACAAAGTTAGTCATCAGAAATGATCAATTTTGTAGGTATGTTAGAAACCGTAAATATAGCTTTTGAGACATGATTAAAACTAAGTGTCTTCAAGGTTACAACTAGAAAAAAAATCTTAGTGAAAATAAAGAGAAACTTAATTTATTTATATTATGCATAATTTTAATGGTAATAAATATATCTTCGTAGTATATTTGTTAAATGCAAATTCATAGTATTATTGTTCCAAATCATTGAGTTAAAAGTCAAAGTATATTATAAATTATATTATCTTTTTTATTACAGATTATCCAAAGAAGACTACGAAGACAATATTGCAAAAAGGTAAACAATTATCTGTATTCAAACTAGTAGTAGTTACATAAGGTATCTATACAGATAGTCAATCTCCAAGTTTCTATGCATAGATTTGTTCATAAATTCAGAAGATATTTAAAGCTGTGTTTGGCTTAAGTGTGCATAATAAAGTTATATGATATCTGGAGGAAAAGTCTCCAGACATATTATTCTCATTCTAATACATGATATTTGTTTTTTTATCATTCACATCCTATATGCTATATTTTAACATTTTCCCATGAGTGATATAAATATTGCTAGTCTTATTTTAGTTCTCTGATCTCTAATTCCCTAATAATTTTAAGATTATATGGCTTTAGTAAGTTTTATTTACTATTCCCTTGAATGGATGAGTATCTTTGAGTTGTCAACAGTACTAAATAAAAAAGTAAATGGGGATATTTAACAATAAATAAGTGTCTTCAACATTAATTAGTATAATGTGCATATTTTCTATCAAAATTTTTTAATTACTCATTATTTTTAAGTAAGAATAATTAGTCATGAATGCATTAGTGCAAAACATGTTTTTAATTTAATTTTGTGATTATTTAATTAATTAATTTATTTATTTTGAAGTTGACCAGAGAGAGAGAAGGAAAGTGAGAATGCAAGCTGCCAGGTCTGGGACTGAACCACAGTCAGCCATGTGGGATGGGAGTACAACTGCCTTAACCAGCACATCACCTGCCAGCCCCCAAAACATATGTTATTAACAGAAACAAAAAAAGAGAAAAACTTCCATACAATAAAGTTCTAGAAACAGATTTGGACCAAATGTCACTTAATGCACTTCACATTTTGATGAGAAAATATTTTAAAGAGATTATGTTATTAACTCAGGATATGAAACAGCATAAAATTCAAAGTGCATTTTAAGTTTACATATTTGGATTTAGTTGTGAAGGAAAAAGTTGAAAATTTCTGCATCTAATAATCTTCAGTCTTTTATTTTTGGTTAGATTTTTGCCGTAAGATGTGTGTGTCTGCCAGAGAGAGACAGAGAAAGAAGAAAAATGAGAAATCACTCCCAGGGCAGATGACCATGCCACAATCCTTTCTTCTCCACTCTTGTCTCAGGATATGGGGCATGCATGCGCGCACGCACGCACGCACGCACACACACACACACACTTCATATTTTTCAAGCTTCTGGGTCCAGAACTTAAACTGTGGAATTGGCCATGTTGGATCCAGAATTTTACACACCTTGCCACCTGCTGACCCATATAATCTTTGGTCTTAATTCACTGGCAAGAATATGAATGCAGATTTATAAAACAAATGTAATGGTTGGGGTCAGCAGGTGGTTAAAGCACTGGACTCTCAAGTGGTCAACTGTGGATCTAGTACTGGACCCAGTGACTTGAAACACACCAGTCACATGTGTATAACTGTTCAAAATCCCAAGAGGAGAATGGAGGAGAAGGGATTTCAGATGGCCATTGCCCGTGGGAGGTGATCTCTTGCTTCCTGTTTCTCTGTCTGTCTTGGTCTCACCAGCAAATGCACATGCCTCATTTAAAAAAAGAGAAAAAAAAACCAAAATAATAAAATTAATTCAATGGCAAAGTTTATATAAACAACATAAGTAAATGTGTGAATATATTTACAATTTAAAAAATGGTTTCTTGTGAATATTGAATTAATATTGATTAAAATGTTCTGTGGTTCAATTTTTTTTTTAAGAGGTTTTGGCTATAGGCGCGTGCACTCACCAGACAGACAGAGAGAGACAGAGAGATAGTAAGCGAGAAATCACCCCCCAGGGGGGATGGCCACGCAGCAGTCCCTTCTCCTCCATTTTCCTCGTGGGATCTTGGGCATGCACGCACACGTGCCCAGCGTGAGTTTTAAGCCACCGGGTCCCGGATGCAAACCGCAGTCGACTACGTGGGAGTCCAGCAACATAGCCATTATGCTAACTGCTGGTCACATCGGTGGTTCAATTTTAAAAAACCCTCAATATCTATACTATCAATGGATACAGTAGAATGTGCTTATATTAGGTTCTACTAGTTATATCTATTCCTAATAAAGTATAAGATATATTAATATACATAAGTATTACTTATAATTATTGACATATATAAATATAGTGTCCTAAAGTAAAATTGCTATTAAATAACTAAATTGCTGAAAATAATTTCATATTTATAAAAGTAATATTTAACTTACTAAATATATGAAAATTTTCTAAAAAAAATTAGAAAAAATATAAATGTACCAGTAAAATTTTGCTGCTTCATTATGCTATAAAAATATATTTAATGTTTCAGAATTCCATCATTCTTAATAAATATTATATGTGACAATTACAGAATAATGTGCTATTTAAAATGAACATTAAAAGTGTTTAGATAGGGGCCAGCAGGTGGCATGGTGGTTAAAGGCGTTGGACTCCCACATGGCCTACCGCAGTTTGAGTCCTGGACCTGGTGGCTTGCTTTCTCACTTTCCCTCTCTCTCGTGCACTCTCTCTCTCTCTCTCTCTCTAACTCTCTCGCTGTGTCCCTCTCTGGTCAAATGAAAATAAATGAATAAACAGATAAATAAAGTTAAATAAAATAATTCTTTAAAAAATGTTTAGGGGACCAGCAGTTAGCGTAATGACTATGTCACTGGACTCCCATGTAGTCGATCGTGGTTCGCGTCCCAGACCTGGTGACTTAAAACTCATGCTGGGCGCGTGTGCATGCGTGCCCAAGATCCCGAGAGAAGAATGGAGGAGAAGGGACTGCGGCATGGCCATCCCCTCTGGGGGGTGATTTCTCACTTTCTGTCTCTCTGTCTCTCTCCGTCGGGTGAGCCCACGCACCCTATATCAAAAACCTCTCCCCCCAGAAAAAAGTTTAGATACTGGGACCAGCAGATGGCGAATTGGTTGCATCACAGTTCAAGTTCCAGGCCAAGAGGCTTGAAACTCATGTTGGGCATGTGTGCATGCTTGCCAAAATCTCAAGAGATGAGAGTACAGGAGAAGGGATTGCAGCTTGGCCATCTCCCCTGGGTGGTGATTTCTTTGTTTCTGACTCTGTCTCTCCACTGAGCACACATGCCTTATAACAAAAATCTCCACCCCTCAAAAGAACAAACAAAAAAGTTTAGCTACTAATGCCAATCTATAATAAAGACTTTTATCAACTTGAAGTACAGATTGCAATATACTTCCGGGCATTAGAAAAATTATAAAAAATAGTGGTTATTCATCACAATCTCTTTGAAAGAAAGTTTGGTCTAAGAAAATTTGGAAGTTTGTAGGTCCAAACAAAAGATAACAATAAAAGTTAAAGTGATTTATGAAAGTCGACATATGGTGTAGAGTCTGCATTTTCCGTTAACTCCATTTTAACTGAAGAACAATTTAGAGCAGGGGTTGTGTAGGCAAATTCAAAAAGATTGTTATTTTATTTATGTAACTATGTTTTAAACATTAGATCTAATAAGAATTAATTTATATGTGTATGTTGTTAACTTTGTCCTAAAATAAATGTATGTCCTACCATGGGAGATTTATTTATATATACACAGACACACATATATAAATATATTATATTTACTAAAACACTTTTCATTGTACAATTTCTTAATTATATTTATCAGTGTACAATTTCTTAATTATATTTATCAGTATAATTTATTTAAGTTTTTGTCATAGATCATGTGTGCTCTTTGGAAAGAGACAGAGAGGGAAGTAAGACATCACCTTCCCCAGCCCCCTGGGGACTGGAGGTGTGGAGTGAAAGGCCATACCACAATCCGTTCTCCTCCAATCACATCCTGGGATTTCGGGCATGAACATACATGTGCCCAGCATGATTTTGCAAGTTACCAGGTCCGGGACTCTAACTGTGATAGGCCATGTGGGAATGCAGTGACTTAACTACCACATCACCTAATAGGTCCCTATAGCCAACATTCTTTACTTATCTACTATTAAACATAAAAATGTTTTGTCCTCTTAAAAAAATTGAAAATTTCTTAAAAATTACATGCCAATATGAAAACAAAATGATAGTAATTGAAAGTATTTTTTTCTTTCTTTTATGAAAAAGGTTTGTAATAATTTAAACGATTGTTTTCTTTTCCTATATTATTACATTTAACTATAAATAATAGTAACGTTCACTTTGAAAAGTAAGGGACAATAAAGTTAACTTTCAAATTTGTACTTTTAAGAAGCTATGGAAAATAGATTTTTAATCTATTTTAAAATAGGATGTTTTATGTAACAAACACCCTTCTTTAGAGTTTTTTTTAGGTTTTTGCAATATGGCAGTGCACTCACTGCATAGTGACAGACAAAGAGAGGGAAAGTGAGCATTCTGTCCCCAAGGGAGATGGCCATTCCGTAATCCCTTCTCATGTACCAAGCATGATTTTTCAAACTGCTGGGTCTGGAATTCTAACCATGTGGGAGTGCAGCACCTTAACCACCACACGACCTGCTGGCCTCCCAAAACCACCTTTTTTATTCTGTAGGAGACCAGTCCTTCTCCAGATCTACAACTATTGTATTAGCTCTCATTAACATGATGAATTATATGCTGTTTTATGTTAAACACTCTTTGGCATTGCTTCCCTGAGTTATAATAGAAGGGCAAGTTGCCTTAAGATTTAAAAGTGATATAGCTGAGGTGGTGTTATAGTGGAGCTACAGGTGGGGTCTAGGTTCTGATCCCAGGTCAACCTGAACACACCAGGCATGCCTGCAGTATACCTGTGATTTTGGCTGGCTGAGAGACAGGGCTGGGGGGTGGGGATCACAATATAGCAAGACCCTGTCAAGAGCCAGTAAGAGTCAGTCTCTCTTTCTTTTTCTCAGAAGTAAATAAATACATGTTTTAAAAAGGTATAAAAGGACACCACAGTTCATTTTTGCCACTATGATCATTTAATTTCAGGAAAATTGGAGAAACTTGAGGTTTGTCTTATAAAATTCAAGCCCAATATGACTTATGATCACACTAATTTTGAAAACTAGTTCATTTATGTTCACGTGATATTCATGTAGACTAAGCTCGTAATGTCGATTACAGTGGCATCACTTCTGCAGCTGTGTTTAGCTTACTTTGGAGCACTATCAAAGAAAGGGCATTAGATTTTTGCAATAAGCCTCTCCAATCCCTGAACATGTATTTCCTTTCTGCCTCTGTACTGTTGGAGTCATTCCAGTGCCTGGAAGAAGAAAAGAGAGAGAGATCGCAGTGAGGATGCTATGCTTAGTACAGATATTAGTTTCATCCTGAGAAGTCAAGAACTTCTAATAATAGCCATGAACATTTCCATACCCCTCAAATCTTTTCCTTTGAAAAAATTCAAACCTTCTTAATGCAGCAACATACTTACTTTCCATAACGACATTCCACACTTCAATAATGTGAAATAGTCAGAATATTTCCTAAATGTTAATGTACATAAACCATAAAAATAATTACACCAAATTGTTGCCTCAATATGTTGTACTTTCCAAGCAAATTTGTACATAAAAAAATTGATAATCCTCTCAATTTATGAGAAAATTGAAAATGAATTTACTATGAGAAACTTCAAACTCGTAAAACCCATTGCAAAATACGAGGGCCAACAGTTGTCTTCTGTATGCTAAATAACATAGTGGGTAGTCATTTCAATATTGTATCATCATAGACTAAGTTCTGTCTTTATCTCTTATCTGTATTCATGTTTCCTCCATGAATCACTTACTCAGTGAGATATAACTTAATTAAGATAACTAGCTCGCAAATAAGAATATTGCTTTCTGACATTTTTATCATTTGTAGAAAAGCCAGATTTCTGCTTTTTGGAAGAAGATGCTGGAATCTGTCGAGGTTATATTACCAGGTATTTTTATAACAATCAATCAAAACAGTGTGAACGTTTCAAGTACGGTGGGTGCCTGGGCAATCTAAACAACTTTGAATCATTGGAAGAGTGCAAGAACACCTGTGAGGATGCCTGTAAGTTTTATTTTCTCATTTCATTTTAGTTCATTTATATAGACATCCTTTTACTTACAAGTTATCTGAGAGGTAGTTCAGGTTTACCCTGGTTTGACTTTGGTCAAGGAAATGAACATATATCAAGGATCTTCAGAAAGTTCGTGGAAAATGTGCCCTTTGAAATAATTGTGCACGGATTTCAAATCTTTTTTGCACCAGAATAAATACGTACTTTAATTCCTTTTTTTTCATGATTTTCTTAAGTCCATCTGTAAGAGATTTCTCACTTTTTTTTAAAAAGAGCATATAGAACATAAATCATTAATTATAGTGACAATTGTTTCTGTAGATCTCATTTCATTTTTTTTTTTTTTGAGAGATTTTTACTATAGGGCACGTGCGCTCGCCAGACAGACAGAGAGAGACATTAGAGACAGAAAGCAAGAAATCACCCCCCAGGGGGGATGGTCACGCCGCAATCCCTTCTCCTCCATTCTCCTCTCGGGATCTTGGGCACGCACGCACACGCGCCCGGCGTGAGTTTTAAGCCACTGGGTCCAGGACACAAACCGCGGTCGACTACGTGGGAGTCCAGCGACATAGCCATTACGCTAACTGCTGGTTCCCTCATTTCATTTTTTAAGTTATATTATTTGACTTTTTTCCTGGGGATACTATAGGATAATTACTTTTTTTTTTTTTTTCTAGAAAGCATTGAGACTCAGCCAAAAGAAGTAGAGAGAAAGAGAGAGGGAGAACGAAAAAGTACTTCCCATGGCAGAGGTCACACTGCAATCACTTCTCTTCACATGGTTTTCTATCCGCTAAGTCTGGGGTTCACACTGTACAGATGGTCATGTAGGAACCAGCTGCTTTAATCACCCAGTAACCCAGTAGGACAATTTTTACAGAACCATAGAACTGTTAAACTGTGTTATAAAACTTTGAGGGCAAATAGTTAATTGAAAATACTGGGCCAGTCTGCAGCCTGGTGGTTAAGGCAGCTGGGTCTCATGTGGCCCAATGTACAGTTGGAGTCCACCTCCATGGTTTGAAAAACATTCCAGGCACATGTGCATGCTTGCCCAAAGTCTTAAAAGAGGGGAAAAAAAAATGGAGAGATGGAGGACAAGGGATTGCAGCATGACCATGCACTGTGGGGGTGGTTTCTATTTTTCTCTCGCTCTGTCTCATCAGCAAGCACAGGTGCCTTCTGGCAATAAAAAAATCAAAAAAAGAAAGAAAGAAAGAAAAGGAAAAAAAGAGAAATGAAAGAAAGAGAAAAAAAAAAAGAAAGAAAATACTACCTAGCATCGATCACTTTTATCTGTCTGTAAAATTAGAGAAGTGACTCAAATATCAACTGTTATTACTTTGAAACCAATGAGCACAATTTTGTTCATGAAGTTATGTGTGTGTGTGTGTGTGTGTGTGTGTGTGTGTATAAATAAATAATCACATACATACACACCGTTAGCTAATTTATAATGGCAATGCTAATCCAAGTGCTAGAAATAAGCTTTTCTGAACACAATTGTGCTTTCCTTCATGTGTATAAATGTGAGATTGTGACAACATTCTTGTATTTAATGAGATGCATTTTTTTCCAGCGAATGATTTCCAAGTTGATGATTATAGACCTCAGCTTGATATAGGCCCTGTGAATAACAACACCTTGACTCCCCCACCTACCAAGGTTCCCAGCATTTTTGGTAAGAGTCTCATTGTTTTTATTGCTTTCAAAATGTATCACGGCAATAATGCTATAGAAGTGAACTATGCATTATAAGCATGCCCTTAAAAAACATACATACACATACAACCATTTTGCTGTATTAGTTGGTGTATTAACATACTGAGATTTAAAGTATTTAAAACATTTAATCCCATAAAAGTGATCGTTTTCATAATCTTTTAAAGTATGCTTTGACGTATGATTTTGATTATGCCAAATGTATCTTGTGAAATAAATAGCACCAGGAATTATCAGCCTTAATGAATGGTGATAAATTATTGTCCTGGCAGCAACATGTCCAAAACAGGTCTAAAATGCCTTTATATTGAGCCTGGCACTGGACAAGGTCTCTAGTAGTCACAGGGCAGATTAGAATTGGTTTCAATAACCATACCCCAGGGGTGTGTCACTCTTCAGGAGCTTTTCTTTAGGACTTTTACAGGATTCTTGTCTGTGTTCTACCCTGTCAGATTTATGAAATTTAAGCAAACATACAGGAAATAGTCCCACAAAAATGCCAAGCTGAGAAAATACTGGAAATACAACCAGAAATCACAACTCTCTAGGTATTTAAAAGCAGTCTAAAAAGCTGAAAATTAATGATACAGATAAAATGTAAGGTCCTACCTGAATTGTAAAAATCACACATGCTTATACAGAAATTGGAGATTTTCCTTAGAAGCTATCCACATGACTATGTCAAATGTAAACTTGGCATGAATTTATGAAGTTCTATGACTATTAAAATTGCAACCTTAGTATAAAATAATAATAATAGCATAGTGTTTGGGCCAACTCTCCACCCTGGCCATGAATTAGAACAAAATGAAATTTAGAATCAGACAGTCTTTGACTAACTCCTCTTTATAATAAACAAGCAAGCAAGAAAAAGAAACTTCTGGTACCAGCAGATGGCATAATGGTTACATTGCTGGACTCCTATGTAGTGAACCGCGGTTCAAGTCACGGACCTGGCAGCTTAAAACTCATGCTGGGCGTGCGTGATGCATACCCAAGATCCCAAGAGGAGAATGGAAGAGAAGAGATTGTGGCATGTCCATCCCCCCTGGGGGGTGATTTCTCACTTTCTGTCTTTCTGGCAAGTGCATGCTCCCTATAGCAAAATCTCTCTCAAAGAAACAAACCAGCTTCTGTACACATGGATATGAAGTGCTACAAATGTTGACTGCAGCTTATTTAGAACGAGGGCTGTGAACACCCAACTTAGTCTCACACTGATCTGATTACCTGTGGGACTTACTGCAGCCCTGAGTGCCACACCGGAGAAGTCACAAGAGAATTTAAAACACGTTTGTAGAAAGACTGGAAAGTGTATGGAGATGTGCAATCCAGGAGGGAGCACAATACGTGCTCTTGGTGCTTGAAACATTACTTGTGAAAAATCTGCACATGTCTTACACTTTGGTTTTGCCTATTTGAGAATCCCTACACTCTGTGACAGCCCCCCGCTTCCTTATCCCTCTCAACCCAGCCTAAACATCAGAATTAATGTGTGAAAACTGAAGTATGAATTTTATTCTTATAAAATATATATTTTTAATGTGATATTCTCAAAATTGAATAGATTTACTAGTTGGGTGGATTTTCTAACAAATCCCCCCAAATCCCTGAAATTTTAGGCATTCTAGCAGTGTTCTCCTAGCACTTAAAAACTCATAACTGAAATGTAAACTCTCACAGAAAGTTGGGCAATATGGCATATTCAAAATGCATTCAAGTCCTTAGATTCTATAATTAAAGCAATGAATTCAATGCCAGATGAAATTAATTCTAATTTTAAAATACATCTTTGTTTGTAATAATCATAATATATTTGTGGCTCTGTTTATTTTATCTGTAAAATTAAGTGATTTCATTGCATTGTTTCTTTGTCTTTCCAGCTCTATTCTTTTCAAAGTTATTTTATTTTATCCAGTTAAATATCACATGTTCAGAAACATGTTAAATCTTATTGCTGTGAAAGTTTAGAATAAAACAAAATTAACAGTCACATGTGATACAATATGTTGATAAATAAAATAAATTTATAAAATTGGTTTTTAGTATGTTTCAATATTTTGTTTTAGTTATTTTACTAATGTAAGTGGAGATCATCAGTCACTTCTTACCAAATAGTGTTTGGGCCAGTTTTTCACTCTGGTATGCTTTAAACAAAGATAGGATTCAGAATCAGAATGTCTTTGAGTAACTCAAATATTTTTGAGTCTTCAGAAAAAATATGGAAATGCATATTATAAAAGAAAAAAACTTAATTTTTTGGCACTAAAATAAATTTGCACTTTAATTCCATGTTTTCATAAACATGAAGTTTCTCAGAGAAGGCAAGAGCAATGGTTGCACCTATAACCTCAGCTACTAAGAGGCCTCAGCCTCTTAGGCAGGAGGGTTGAGAGTTCATGGACAACCTAACACATCAGGAGCCTATCTGTAAAATAAATCTTAGAAGAAGATATTTTCATTGAAGTATTACAAAGCCTAAAATAATAATTTTTTTTATCAGACATACTTCCAAGCTAGAAAAAAGAATATGAAAAGCAGTGTGAGAAAGTAATGTTAATGAGTTAAAGACTTTGAAAATACATGCCCTCTCTAAATTTTTATTCATTTATATTTCCCTTCGTCAAAAATGTACATTCCTCTAGCCAATTTGACAGTTCTTCCTCTTTTACTAGAAGCATAATGTATTTTTTTTTATTGTTTTGTGAGCTTTCTAAAGTATGAAACAAATTTACAGTAACTATTGGAACTTTGGAAGTCGTGAATGATTTTTCTATGTTTTTCTATGCAATAACGCATCATAACTTTTCCATCAACCCAATACTTTGAAAAGTTTGATACACTAGGGTGGCTTAACATGGAAAGGTTGTCCATATAACTATGCCTCCATTCTTTTTTTTTTTTTTTTTTGAGAGATTTTCACTGTAGGGCGCGTGCGCTCGCCAGACAGAGAGAGACATAGAGACAGAAAGCGAGAAATCACCCCCCAGGGGGGATGGTCACGCCGCAATCCCTTCTCCTGCATTCTCCTCTCGGGATCTTGGGCACGCACGCACACGCGCCCAGCGTGAGTTTTAAGCCACCAGGTCCAGGACACGAACCGCGGTCGACTACGTGGGAGTCCAGTGACATAGCCATTACGCTAACTGCTGGTTCCCACTATGCCTCCATTCTAAGACCTCAATGAAACCTGATCTGTCCTGCCTCTCAAGATGTAGAAGGTGGTAATGCAGATTTCCCTCCACACTATCTACAAACTGTCAATAGATGATCCCTTTCCGACTCCATTGAAGGGTTTTGCTGAGATTTATAAAAATGCCACTTGATTGCCCAGCTCAAAAATAACTATATCTGTCACTGCTTGCAATTTTATTAATATATTCTGTCAAAGTTTAAGAAAATACAGTTTTTTGTTTATGAAAAATTGTGCTGCTCAAGGATTTTATCAAATGCTTAAGGCTCTCTGTGGCTATCAGTTTCTTTTAAAAAGATGCAAATCCTGTATGGTTTCAATATAATGTATCTGAAAAACAATCTGCCTCACAATGTAATGAGATAGCATTTTTTAAAAAATTCTTTACATTAAATAACTATTCATATGTATAGAATTTGAATATTCTAAAATTTGGTTATTATTTCTTAAGTGAAATATCTATAAATATTCCATGTACTAATATAATTTTGTAATTATAATTTTAAAATTACTAACTTTATCATGAAATTAAAGAAGTATTTTGAAGTTTTGGTCAATATTAAAAGAAAATGCTTCATAAATTATTTTTAAACTATTTATCCTGAATCACTAGACTATTGTAAATGAGTTTCAGGATATATTTTTCCAGTGAGTTTTCTTGACTCGAGATACTTCAATACCTATTAAGAACAACTGAAGTTTAATTTTTCTTTATTTATTGCTATCTTTTAGTAATAACAGTCTATATAGGTAATCACAAAGATAAGTTTTATTATTCTTTAAAGAGATTTTTTAAAGGAGATTTTTGTTATAGGGCACATGTGCTCAACAGAGAACAAAAAGTGAGAAATCATCCCCCCAGGGAAGATCACCATGCCACAATTCCCTTCTCCTCTCAGGATTTTGAGCATGCATGCACATGCACCCAGCATGAGTTTTAAGCAGCAGGGTCCAGGACTCAAACCTCAGTCAACTACATAGAGGAGTCCAGCAACATAACCACTACTGGTCCCAAAGAGATTTTTAAAAATTACTTGTAAGCATATTCCTAAGCACAAGTTAGAAAGAATAATTTGAGTGTGATTGGCTGAATTAAGAGGCTGTCTGTGTAATTGTAGGAAGTGAATGTTTTCAAGTATGTGAGAAGACAATTCTAAATCAATGTGTCCATGTGTATACAGTGTTGTGCATAACCTTCAGAATGAAAAACCATCACAATCAGTCCCATTTGACCTGCCTCCCCATGATTGGCAGAATATTACAGTAGATAAAAGACCCTTGAGCTTGAAGACATAGGTACAAATTCTACTTGTTTCACTTGCTGTGCAACCGTAAGATATTTCTTAACTTGTCTGAGTCTTATCTTCCTACTGTGAAGTGAGGATAGAACTATTATAGTACTAACCTGACAGGTTTTAATATGAGGTTAAATCAGTCAATATACACAACTCTCTTAGGATAGTGCCTGTTCATTTGCTATACAGTGTGCCCTATATAGCTATGGTTCCATACCCATGGATTCAACCAACCATGAATCACAAAAGTTTTAGGAGGAAAAAAAAAATGATACAACAGTAAATGTAATACAAATAAAAAACAGCATAGTGTAACAACTGTTTATATAGCATTCCCATTTTTTGAGGTATTATAAGCAATCTAGAGATGATTTAAACTACACAGAGGATATGCATAGGTTATACATAGATTATATGGAAATACCACATATTTTATATAAAGGACTCGAGCATCTGAAGATTTCAGTATCC